GTTATGAATAGTTTTAAATATAATCAGCGGAAACCAGTCTGACATTTAAGGCCCCCTGTGACCTTGACCTTTGACCAAGTGATCCCATGATCAATATATGTCATCTTCTAGTAGTGACCAATCATTTTATGAAATATGACAACTTTGTGATAAATAGTTTTCAAATAATCAGCGAAAACCATGTGGTTTACCGACGGGATCCTGTAAAGTTTTAATGAAATTGCATAAATGGTATAAGAGGAGAAGTCCAGATTAACTTTAAAAATAAAATAATTAAATGGCCATAACTTAAAAATCATAATCAAAATAACGCAAAATCATTAAACTGGAAAATGTGGTGTAACAAAATAAGTAATAAATATTTGTGTGTTTAAATATAGAGTATCTTATCAAGAACCCTTATGTTTAGCAGTTAATTTTGCTTATTTATGTAAAAAATAGAAATGTGTCCATAGAACACAGGTGCCCCCTCACTCTACTATTTTGTCTGTTTTATGACTCTAGGTAAAATTTCATTTGGCTACGCTTGACACAAGTTGAAAACTAAAAATCTTTTACTTAGTCATGGGCAAAAATTTAACAAATACTAAATAAATCCACTAGACCCTAAGGTACCTAAGTACACATACTGACCAACATTCTTTAAAACCTTCAGGTCAAATACATTTTGAGCTATGCATGAACAAGTTAAAAATTGCAAATTTATACTGAGTCAAGGGCAATAACTGTCATTAAACTGAACAAATTCAAAATGCAAACTCCCAGGTGCACAGTTTCACAGTGATGTTGATTATTGTTCCTGTAAAATTGGTTGATTCTAACTCAAGCACTCAAGGAACACATAACACGGTTTTTACTAAGTCAAGGGCAATAACACTAACAAAACTGAAAAAATCCAAATGCAAAACCCCATGTGCACAGCTTCACAGTGATAGTATTCATTATTCCTGTAAAGTTGGTTGATTCCAACTCAAGCACTAAATGAACAATGGAATGGTTATTACTAACACAAGGGCAATTACTTATCAAATACTGAATAAATCAACAATCATCCCTCACAGGTGCACAACAACACATGTCAACTAACATCCTGTAAAGTTTAATGACCATAGGTCAAATACCTTTTCAGCTATGTGCCACAAAAGTTGAGAATTGCAAATCTCTACTAAGTCAAAGGCAATAACTCTACAAATACTGAATAAATCCACAATAAAATCTTTAGGTGCACAACTTCACATGCTGACAAACATAACAGTAAAGTTTTATGACTAGGTAAAATTCTTTTTGAGTCATGTGCCACACAAGTTGAGAATTGCAATTTTTAACTTAGTCAAAGGCAATAACTCTACAAATACTAAATAAATACACAGAAATACAAAGGTGCATAACTAACATTCCTTTCAAATATAGAAAAGCAGAATCCCTAAAGAAAGTCCAACACGTCAAAATTGAAAATGTTGCAGGCTCGGTTTGACTGAGCCTGTTCATGGACGGTACTGGAAAGTGCAAGTTACCGTCCACGCCCCCCTAGCACCGCCTTTAGCAAAATTCAACATATAACACGAAAATGGTGAAATTTTGAATTTAGAAACATCCGCAGATGTGTTCATACGGCGGTCATCATGGAAACTTCAATGTGACACGTCGGTGCCATTCCATGAAAAGCGGCGTATGATCCCCAAGTAAAAGAATGCTTGTGCCCTAAACTAGAAAACAATGGGCGGAACTAAATAAAATGGAATTTTGAAAGGGGATCTGTGGTTATGAAGCCTGCATATCACAGATAAGACGCCAAAAAGACAAATTTAAAAAGCAGGCAACATATCCTAAGGGTGATTATACAGTATTCAAGTAGGAATACTGGAACCACCCAAATAGAAAATAGAAACTAAACTTACCACATAACATGTATACACAACAATTATGTCGTGCTGAACGATCTTTAAGGTTTCAAGTTTCGTGACTCAAGGTCAAAAACTTTTTAAGCTACGTGTGAAACAAAATGTGAACAGAAGGACAGATGGACAGACGCACTTACACAAGAACCAGTTGAACCGGGTGATCCTCCCGGAATAGGTTTGGACACAGAAAAGTATACCTCTTGTAGTGTTAAAGTACTGTTCCGGATAAAGTTGAAAAAATGAAAAAAGGTCAATAACTCCAAAATCAGGCAGGGCAGAGTTATGGTTCTTTTGCATTGCCATTCTAACCAATGAGATCTATCTACCTATAAAGTTTCATGCTGATATCTCTTATAGTTTTAAAGTTTAATGTCCCGGAGAAATTTCAAAGTATAAAAGAACCAAAAGGCAATAACTCCAAAATAAGGCAAGGCAGAGTTATGGTTCTTTTGCACTGTACTTCTACTCAATGAGATCTATCTACCTACAAAGTTTCATGTTGATATCTCTTATAGTTTCAGAATTATGTCCCGGACAAATTTGACAGCGTAAAATTGAACAAAGGGCAATAACTTGGTATCCCTCATAGTTTTAGAGTTATGTACCAGACAAAGTTCAAAGTGTGACAAGAACTGTTGGAGGAGAGTAAGGCTCGACTATTCGAAAAAGTTGTCACAAGGGTGTTTTATTGAGTATAATAATGCTTACCTATGAATACATAAAATTGACCGAAAAGGTACAAGGGCTTGTTATTAAGATGTTTTTTCAAGTAAATCACTGCTTTATTATCATGAATGCATAAAATTGTCCCGAAAAAGGCACAAACCCTTCAGTAGTTATGGAGATAACAGCTTACAAGCAAAACTTCACCATGAATTTCTAAGTTTAAAAAAGGGAGAAAAATCAGCCTAAATACAAGATAGAATTATTGATCTTGGTCAGTGACCTACAATTATGACCCTAAATGCATATGTGAAGTTTTAAATAAATATCTTTAATAGTTATTGTGATATGTAAAACTTGCATGTAAACATTAACCAAGAGACTAAGTAGAAAAGGGGAGATAAATCAGCCTAAATGCAAGATACAGTTATGGAACTTGGTCGGTGACATACAATTATGACCCTTCATACATATATGAAGTTTCAAATCAAAATCTATGATAGTTATTGAGATATGTAAAATTTACATGTAAACATTAACCAAGAGACTAAGTTAAAAAGGGGAGATAAATCAGCCTAAATACATGACACAGATATGAGTGAGTGATCATTATGTATAACCACAAATATACATATGAAGTTTCAAGTTTGTATCTTTAATAGTTTCAGAGATATGCAAAACTTGCAAGTTAAACTTAACTAAGAAAAGGAGATTTTTTAGTACAAAAGGGAGCATAATTCAGTCAAAATAATGGCAGAGTAATGAATCTTGAGATGTGACCTTCAATTATGACCCTAAGTACATGTGTAAAGTTTCAAGTAAATATCTTCGAAGACCTCTAACCTTTAACCAAAATTTCTAAGTTTCAAAGGGGCAAATAATTCTGCGGATATTGCAGGCAGAGTTATGCAACTTTGCAAACTGATGCACATTGTTACTTTAAAAGGTATTGTAAATTTCAATTGAATATCTCAAACAACAATTGAGATATTTGACTTTATAACAAAAACTTTAACCAAAATTAAAAAGGGGCATAATTCTGTAAATATTATAGGCAGAGTTATCAAACTTGTCAATCTGATGCACATTGTTACTATAAATAAGAATTGTAAGTTTCAATTGAATATCTCAAGCAATAATTGAGATATTTAACTTTACGTGGGTAAATCTAAATGCCTCCCCCTAAAGTGGGGGCACAACAATTAATATTAAAGAAAAGATGTGTAAAAAGTTATTTTATTGGCATTAAAGACGTAAATACTTGCATTTGATTCTACATTATGTATCGTTGCGTTTCATATGCAAAGCCTTAATAATGGCCGTGTTTTCACTACGGTATTTACATCTTAACTCTGGTATTTTCGATTAAGGTAAAGGCTCTCATGTAGCATTACAATTTGGATGTTTTGACAAATTCACATATACGGTATGTATGAAATGAATTGCTATCAACTTCAAGCAACAACAGTAACAACATCGGACACGGTGCATAGCTTGTAACTTTCGGTAATAAAAGATTATTAAAGAACACACAAAGCGTAATTATCATGATTTTCTAAATACACGCATGACTGTTGACATTTTTCACAAGTCGACCGGTCAGCTAGTGGATCTGCGCCAATTAGTTTGGCTTCGAATAATAATTAGTCTGGCTTCGAGAGATAGGTGTGAAATTCTTTCATAATTGTATAATCAAGGCTGAAATTTTACTTCGATACATAGGCGGTATTCGGATAATGCATTTCGAATAATACGCCCGTATTGATATTGTTTTATATAGAGATAAAAATGGGACCGCCTATCTACTTCAAATAATGCAAAGGGTTGTCGAATAACTGGAGTCGGATTGTATTAGAATATTTAGGAATTTGGCTGCCATCTTTGACGCTATCTTGGATTTCTTATCTTGGCATCAGACTTGAGGCAAATAAATATTTATTCTGGAAACTACAGACCTAGACGAACAATTTGGTATATTACTTGCTGTTGGCTGACATTATAAGACCACTTCGATGTCACTTAACTCTATGGATTTGCAGCACTAATATATATAGGTCAAACAAGTGTCTACCTAGAATTTCATCAAATTAAGGAACAACAAGAATCTAGGGAAAAGAGGTTATTTAAACATCTAGCCTATTTTTTTTAAAGATACTCCTTATAATATGGTCAAGTTACCTCACTAATTATATATCATGTAATAACTTTATGTCTCAGATGCCAGTGTATGTGCTGTTTTTTATATTTTTTAATATATACATATATTTTTTTAAAGAATTCAGGCAGGTTTTTTATCTGTAAAACGTCTTTGAAAACTAGAATTTAAAGTAAAAAGTTTACATTTATATATATTTTAAACAACATGTATGGTGTTTTTATATAAATTGGTTAACAAAGATGTATTCTTATTTTAACACTTTGTACATGTATACTTACTCTTAGCTCTAGTTTTGCAAGATGATGACACCTGGTCATAATTTGTTGAAATATATCCTTCATTTTCTGTATATAACCGAAATATATAGTTGGTTCCTAAAAGAAGCAATAATCTATAAGTTATATTTGGTAGAATTTATATCTTACGTTATGTATTAAATGAAAAGCAAAAACTTATCAATTATAAAAACAATTATGAACTTAAAAACGTTTACATTATATCATGCATGACAGTATGTTGATAATGTCATAGTTACCTGGTTCAAGATTTCCAACCACTTTTTGTGTTTCAGTTCCTGTAGTTTTATCACGGAACAGTACTTTGTTACTGGTAGTATTTATTACATCAATATGATATCTCACTAAATCACCATTAGGTAGAGAAGGCGCATCCCAATCAAGTGTTATAGCACTGTCTTTAGGAGATTGACAAACACCATTACGTGGTGCCTCTGAAACTGTAATTTAATAAAACAGAAATTGTGAAAATATTTTTTATTTCTGGAACAATATTTCACTTGTTATGACTGTCTATTACAGTCTTGGCATAATGATAGAATGCTTCTCTTATACCAAAAATTACATGGTCTTTTTCCTTCTTCATGCAAATGCAATTTAAATGTACCCATAAGCTCAATATACTGTAAAATTAAAAGGGATGATACAGAACAATTACCTTGAACTTTTGTTTTAATTGGAGAAACCTTTGTCTCGCTCCATAAATAGTCTCCATTAAACTGTTGACTCCTTGCTGTTACTCTAACATTATATCTATAGCCATTCAGTACATTGTTAAATGTTGTTGATAAAGATGAGGTGTTTCGGGAACCTTTCTCAGAATCACCATCAAACAACTTTACATTATATGACGTTGCAAAACCAGTTCCTGATGTCCATCTAATAGTAATGCTTCTATCAAGAGCGTCTAAATCATCTCCTGAACTTGCTACAGCACCTGGCATGCTTGGTTCTGAAAAAAAATGAACAAAAGTAAAAGAATAAAGATACAACTTTTTTACATTTTATGAACCACCATTAAATCTGTTATTGATAACAAGTCGTTGTGTAGATTTCAAGATTCAACAGAATGTTCGCATCTTATATGGTTAAAAACATGTACAGTTGACTCTCGGTAACTCGAATTTCAAGGGACTGGGTATTTTACTTCGAGAGAAACAGAATTCGAGTGACGTTTGATCTGCTGCCATTATGTTTTATTACATTCATACATGTTTTTACATGTGCCTGATTGAATGTCCAAATTAGTAAGTTTGCAATTGTTGATAACAGCAATTCTGCGATATTTCTCCATTAAAATGACAGTTTGGCAATTCTGTGATATTTCTCCATTGAAAAGACAGTTTATCACTTACAACCACAAATTATAAATGAGCAGAAAGATATTATTCAAAATTTAATACATGTACTTTAATAGTGAAAAATAAACACAAATATTTGTAGCAATGAAATAAATGCAAATCAAGTTGGTCAGTATTCATCGTTAATAATGTTAAGCACATGTTTATAATAAGCACTCATGACAATTCATTAATATAGAAGCACAATGACAAATTATCTTAACAACAATATGTCTTATACCATGGAGAATGTGAATAAATCATCGGACGAAAACTTAAGTAGCAGATATCTTGATATGGAAGTACATATAAATTAAATTACCTAACTGTTAAAACCAATTAAGTCCTTATTCCGATTAAAGTCACTTTTAAGACGTGTTAATGATACATGATGAATGGCAATTAAACTTACTATGAAACGTGTGAACAGAGTGACAACCAGAGTGACAACATGTCGTTTTGATGTCACGACCATTGATCAGTCTGCTGTTTTCACCGCTTATTGAGATGAAAATATGTTTGACTTCAACTGTAGGTTGTCCCTATAATTCTTAATTTTCATATAATTAATTACTTGGGGCAAATTTTATTTGTGTAATGTACTAAACTATAGTCATCAAATCAGCTTGAATAGTGACTGCCACACAGACATCATTTATGCATGGTTTTACAATTTAAATTATTTTATCAAGATCAATACAAATCAAATACATGTACAATATTATACTGATTTGTACGACACCAACAAATTTGTAATAAAGGACCACCTTTAAACTGATTAAATTATGCAAAGCCAACAAGCATACTTGTTCTATATAGAATTTACTTTAACTCTATTGTGTAGAAAGCTATAAGCTTATAGACAGCCTGGAATTAACCAGTATAGAACAATAAATGTAAATTTTCTTGGTCAAGGAAACAATGACTTGCTCCTGACAGGGTTTGAACTCATGCTGCTGGCGATCATTTGATTTCTAGTCTGATGCATTAACCGCTTGTCCATGCCACCACTTTGCTAAAATGTGTAAAACTATACATTCTAACACAACCCGCATTTTTCCTGATTGAACAGTGTGTGTTTTATTATGCTATTAAATCACTGCTGATGTTCTATATTTAGACATGTGAAGCAATCATGTAACATAACTGTAAAAATGCAATACCCTTGTGATATTATTCCTCGCATCCAAACTTCAAACAGTGATTCACTGATAAAAACAATATACCCCCTCTTCTTCAAAGGGGGTGGGGGGCTTAATAAGTTATATTCCAGAATATCCAACTAAAAAATTAAAGATAATAATCATGTGCAAATGTGCTTCTCCGTTATTCTAAATCATGATCTAATGTAAAAAAAAACAAGCAATTATCATAGTATTGCAAGCAATCTATAAGTCCCCTACCGGTTAGAACCCCATCAACATTCTGAAGGGCCATTGGCCATTCACTAATGTTTCAATTTTTCCCTATTTTAAGTAAATTTGTTGGAAAAGTTCTTTAAAAGTGATCACAGGAAACAGTTTTTATGAACAGACAGACAGACGGACTGAAGGACACTCTAAAGTTAATATTTAAAACATCCCTGTTACCAAAATATAACACTTTAAAAGCAAAATTCTTAAAGAAGAGATAACTCTTGAATTAAAGATGCAATTTCATAAAAATTTTCAGCTCTTTTTGACTAATCACAAATATTGTTATATTTGCCATATTTTAAGCCTATTTGTTGCCAAGGCTGTCGTAAATTTACATATTATACTTTCCCGCGCTACTTTGTACGTAAATGGCGCTTTGTGATACGTTGACGTCTGTGACGTCATTATTGTTTATCATTGTTGTTGTTATTGTTTGACGTAGATACTTGTAGTAAACTGAGAAAAGAAGACACAACGTTGTAGTACTTTATCAACTAATATACGATATTGGTGCCGTGACACAAAAAGATGAATCTACAGAAGTTAATTTTAGTACGTAGCGGCAACAGAAGCGTTATTTCGAAGCTTTCGAACAAGTCGACGATATGCGCATCTCCTCTTGGTATTGAAGGTTCCCATAAAGTTTCATTGAATTCCAGCCAGTAGTTGCAGAGAAGTAGCGCGGAAACGATTTTTACTCCATATGCATACTGCATAACTAATCAAGGGCCATAACTCTTAGTTAAAGTGTCTGACCAGAACAAGCTGACGATATGCCCATCTCCTCTTGGTATTGATGATTCCCATAAAGTTTCGTTGAATACCAGCAGGTAGTTGCAGAGAAGTAGTGCGGAAACGGTTTTTACTCTATATGCATACTACATAACTAATCAAGGGCCATTACTCTGAGTTAAAGAGTCTAACCAGAACAAGCCGACGATATGCGCATCTCCTCTTGATATTGATGATTCCCCTAAAGTTTCGTTGAATTCTAGCCAGTAGTTGCAGAGAACTACTCTGGAAACAAAATTTTACTCTATTTGCATTCTACATAACTTATCAAGGGCCATAACTCTGAGTTAAAGGGTCTGACTGGAACAAGCTGACGATATGAGCATCTCCTCTTGATATTGAGGATTCCCATAATGTTTCGTTGAATTCCAGCCAGTAGTTGCAGAGAACTACTCCGGAAACGAAATTCGGACGGACGGATGGACGGATGGACGGACGGACAGACGGACGGACAGATGCGCATCTCCTCTTGATATTGATGATTCCCATAAAGTTTCGTTGAATTCCAGCCAGTAGTTGCAGAGAACTACTCCGGAAACGAAATTCGGACGGACGGATGGACGGACGGACGGACAACGCCAAAACTATATCCCCCTCCCGATTCCATCGGCGGGGGATAATAAGTCATATAAGAGCAGACGATATGCGGGAGAACTTTACTGATGGAGCAGACGGTGGAGAGACCGGAAGCCATGTCAACGTTCAACTTCCGGGAGGAAATATTCACTTTGCTGGTTCACAGAACAGCCTAGGTAACAATCACTCTTTTATGTCGGCAAGTTCACAGTATCATAGGTTACCTAAACTTTCATTACCGAAATTTAATGGCGACATTTTAAGCTGGCAGACATTTTGGGACTCGTTTGAGTCAACTGTTCATCTCAACTGTAATTTAACGGATGTGCAAAAATTTTCATATTTGAAGAGTCAGCTTGAAGGTGAGGCGAATCGGACTATTGATGGTTTTGCACTTACAAATACAAACTATGTACGTGCGACAGAACTGTTGAAAGAGAGATATGGCCAAAAACATAAAATAATACACGCAACAATGCAAGCATTGCTTCAACTCCCAGTCCCTAAAAATACTTTACATTATATTCGTGAATTCTATGATAAAATGGAGACATACATTCGTGCACTGGAGAGTTTGGGCCAGCAACAAGAATCTTACGGCGATTTACTCGTGCCTATTGTGCTTCACAAACTTCCGGGGGAAATGAGAAAAAATCTCGCGAGAGGTCTCGGTGACAGGAATTGGTTGTTATGTGACTTACGTAGAGCTATTTACAACGAAATTAATATTATGGAAGCCGGATCATACAACTCGATTCAACCGGAAGTAGAAACTTACGGATCTACTGCATCATTATTCACCGGGGCAAGAAGTACCAGAGGTTCGAACAGTGCGCATGTGACAAGAACTGGAATTAAGTGTTCGTTTTGCGAGGAATCCCATAGAGCCAGAGATTGCCGGAAGTATCCTGATGTAGCGTCAAAGTTAAATGTTATTAAGGAGAAAAAAACTGTGTTTTAATTGTTTAGGTAAACACCAAGTATTCACGTGTAAGTCCACTAAGAGATGCCAGAATTGTAACAGAAAGCATCACACAACTATCTGTAAGTCTGATAGCGGTCGTAATTCCAGTGCACAGCACACATCTGAAGCTACAGTGATGTATTCTTCCGCGCTTCAATTTAGATCCGGGGTATTGCTAAAGACAGCAATTGCTGACGTTTGTTACAAAGATATATGTAGCCCAGCAACCATACTTTTTGACGAAGGAGCACAAAGAAGTTTTATCACCGAAACTCTAGCAGACGAACTTCAATTAGAGAGGGAAAAATCCGAAACAATCCGAATATCTGCGTTTGGTGGCAAAAGTAATCAGATGCAACACTTTGACCAAGCTACAGTGTATCTTGTTACAGACAGAAGACAGAAGATACCACTGAAAGTTCTGATTGTCCCGACTATAGCGACACCTATAGATAATATACATAGCTCTGACATTTCAAGTTTGCCTTACCTTAAAGGATTAAAATTGGCACATCCAGTAACGCATGATAAAGAGTTTGCTATTTCCTTGCTAATTGGAGCCGACTTTTACTGGGATATTGTTGAGGACGAGATTATACGTGGTACAGGGCCTACTGCCGTAAAATCGAAAATTGGATACCTTCTGTCTGGACCGATCAATTCAAGTAAAAGTAGCAGAAGTGTTGAACAGTTTTTGAACGTGATGGTGTCTCACATACCAGAGGACATATCGATAGAACGTTTCTGGAGTCTAGAAAATCTAGGAATAACACCAGATGACACAGACCGGAAGACGAAAGACAACAGTATCAGCTGACGTCAATTGAATTCAAAGATGGAAAGTATACTGCACGGTTACCATGGAAAACTGACCACCCGGAACTACCTACAAATTATGACATTGTCCTGAAACGCACTGAAAGTACTGTCCGAAGATTGAGCAGAGAACCCGATATGCTGAGAAAATATGGAGATATCATTGCAGAACAAGAGTGACGAGGGTTCATTGAAAGAGTTCAAGAGAAAGATATCCAGACGAAAAAGCCCATCCATTACATTCCACATCACCCTATAAAGAAAAATTCCTCAACTACGCCTATAAGAATTGTATACGACTGTAGCTGCCGTAAAACATCACACCATGCCAGTCTGAATGATTGCCTACAGTCAACACCCCCAGTCTTAAATGAACTCACCTCAATTTTGCTGAGATTTCGTCTGCATGCGTATGCTTTTACAACAGATATTGAAAAGGCGTTTTTGCAGGTGGGATTACATACAGATGACCGAGATATGACAAGATTTTTATGGCTGAAAGATCCGAATGACCCCAACAGTGACTTTTCAACTTATCGTTAAAGTTGTGCTTTTTGGTGCAACTTGTTCACCATTCATACTCAACGCAACGATACTAAAACATTTAGACAACAATCCACATACGACTGTATCAGAAATATTAGGTCGAGATTTATACGTCGATAACGTCATATCCAGTTTTAAAGAAGAAGAAGAGTGCCTTAATTACTTTAAAGAAGCACGCACCTTGATGTCCAAAGCCGGAATGAATTTGAGATCTTGGAACTCCAACAGCAAACAGTTACAACAAGAAGCCAGCAGAGTAAACATATTAGATACTGACGACGTCACAAAAGTCCTAGGTCTACGTTGGGAGCCGTCAACAGATTAAGTGACCCATGTGAAGAGAGATATTCCTATTTCTGCCAATGTACAAATGGAGTGAAATTGAAATATTCATCTCAAATATACGACCCCCTTGGAATACTATGCCCAGTTACCGTCCGAGCTAAACTTCTGTTACAAGACATTTGGAAACAAAAGTACGAGTGGGATGTACCACTTCCAGAAGATAATTAACAGTCATGGTCAAGCCTAGCGAAAGACTTGAACACTGTTGCCACATTTAATTTCCGAGAAGATATTTCTCTGAAATAGCCGAAACCGGAAGTGACAGTCGGACAACCTTGCATATCTTCGTGGATGCAAGTATTAGATCGTACGGTGCAACGGCGTTCATCTGTAATGGGAAAGATTCAACTCTTGTGATGGCTAAGAATCGCGTGGCACCGTTCAAACCCATAACTCTGCCCAAACTTGAACTCATGGCGGCGCTTATTGGAGCTAGACTAGCGAAATATTTGCAGACTACACACTGTGGTCCGATAGTCAAATCGTACTTTATTGGCTATCTACGAAAAAGACACTGAAGAAATTCATCGAGAATCGTGTAAAAGAGATATGTGACCTTACGAGCCAGTACGTATGGAAATATTGTCCAACAAGCGAAAATCCAGCCGATTTACTGACGAGAGGTATAACAGCTGAAAAATTTATGAAGAACGATCTTTGGATGAAGGGACCGATATGGTTATGTGCCAAGACAAAATGGCCGATATGGGAGGTCTCAAACAGGTTACACGTGCAGACGATAATTGAACAGCAAGCCACCGGAAGTCAGCAAGCAGAGATAGACGAGCAAATGATATCTGAAGTTACATATCACGTACCTAGTAATAACATACAGAATATTATTGACATTAGGAAATTCAGCAATCTAAGTCGGTTACTTCGCATTACAGCTTATATTCGCCGATTTATTCAAAACTGCAAGGTCATCCTGTCCAGACGAAACTTCGACCATCTCTATACTAGTGAACTAAGGCAAGCAGAGCAGCGGTGGATACACTATTGTCAAACAGATGTATACAGTACAGAGATACAGGAGTTAGTGAGAAACCAGGTCAGAACACCATTAATAAAGCAGCTTCGATTATTTCTTGACCAGACCGGATGTATCCGTTGCGGCGGAAGACTTAACAACGCAACCGTGGATGACGTCACAAAGTACCCGTACCTCCTACTAAAGAAGTCTAGACTTTCTAAATTGATAGTCCGCAATGTGCATGAGTTACTTGGCCATAGTGGTTTAAATGCTACAGTTACCAGCATTAGACAGTCATTTTGGATACCAGCGATACGACAATGCGTGAATGCCGTAATCCGAAACTGTGTCACATGTCGTAAAGTGCACGGACTTACATACAAGTCACCTGAAGTTCCCCCATTGCCGAAATTTAGAGTAGAAGAAGCCCCGCCCTTCACCATTACCGGCGTAGATTTTACTGGTACTTTATACATAAAAGAACCCTCTGGAGCAGAGAAAAAAGCATACATATGTCTATTTACATGTGCTGTTACCAGGGCCGTTCATCTTGAAGTAGTTACAAGTTTATCAGCAGACTGTTTCTTACAAGCTGTAGAACGATTCTCAAGCCGGAAGTCGCAACCCAAGCTCATAGTTTCAGACAATGCTAAAACGTTCCAGACGGCGTCTACTTATTTGAAAGCCATGTTCGAATCACAGGTCGTCAGAGAGTCCCTAGCAAATACTGGCATTGATTGGAAATTTATACCTGAGAGAGCCCCGTGGTACGGAGGTTGGTGGGAGCGACTGATAGGTCTTACAAAACAAACTTTTAAGAAGATCCTTGGCCGTGCAATGGTAGACTTAGAGACTCTACAAACCATTGTTACCGAAATTCAGTCCCTGCTGAACGATCGACCACTGACGTTCGTTTCATCAAGCCTAGAAGACCCTGAGCCATTGACCCCAGCACACTTGTTATATGGTCGCAGGATTAGGTCCTTACCTTACGTTGGAGCGGAGATTGAGCCCAGAATTCCATCAACTGTAGAACGCAACATTATCTCTAAACGGGCTAGGAACCAGTTCCGGATTATTGAACAGTTTTGGACACGTTGGAGAACGGAGTATCTCACAGCACTCCGTGAACGACGTAACAAACCCGGAAATAACTCTCAAACTATCTGTACCGGGGAAGTGGTACAGGTTCATGAAGATTCGCCACGAACTCGTTGGAAGCTGGCAGTAGTCGATAGCCTTATCGCCGGGAGGGATGGCTTGGTTCGAGCAGCTAGAATTCGTTTTAGCAATGGACTGTACGCTACCAGACCGATTGTGAAACTTTATCCACTCGAAGTAATAGACAATAGAGACTGTGATTAACAAAATGTACAAAATGAAGAAAGACTTCATAAATTGTGAAAATTATTCGAGACTTTACAGAGACTTTCGAATAGCTCACTGAAAAAAGTTCAAAACTACACTTATTCATTTAAATAATCTACGAAATGAATGCACCGCGTTAACAGAGACTTTCAGATTTAAATGATGAACATTTTCTTATTAAGTAATACATTTCTTTTTAATCAAATTTGTACATTGATAACATACGTGCAATTTCATGTGCTATTTATTACTTTTCGCGGCCCCCAGGATGTCGTAGATTTACATATTATACTTTCCCCGCGCTACTTTGTACGTAAATGGCGCTTTGTGATACGTTGACGTCTGTGACGTCATTATTGTTTATCATTGTTGTTGTTATTGTTTGACGTAGATACTTGTAGTAAACTGAGAAAAGAAGACACAACGTTGTAGTACTTTATCAACTAATATACGATATTGTGGTCCCGCGAACCGGATACCAATATTTTTTCAAAATAGGAAGAAAAGATAAGACATGCATAATCTCCAGACTGCCATCTACCCATATGTCAAGTTTCATAAAAATATTTCCAGTACTTTTTGAGTTATCACTGGATTCAGTTTATGTGTAAAATTTGCCATATTTTCAGTCTATGTGTTGCCATAGCAACCAGAATTTTCAACATAGGAAGAAAAGAAAAAGACGTGCATACTCTCCATACTGCCATCTACCCATAATTCAAGTTTCATAAAAATATTTCCAGTACTTTTTGCGATATCACTGGATCCAGTTTATGTGTAAAATTTGCCATATTTTCAGCCTATTTGTTGCCATAGCAACCAGAATTTTCAACATAGGAAGAAAAGAAAAAGACGTGCATAATCTCCATGCTGCCATCTATCCATATATCAAGTTTCATAAACAATATTTTCAGTACTTTTCAAGTAATCGCGGGATCCAGTTTTGTGAACGGACGGACTGACAGACAGACGAACGGAGGGTAAACCTAAAGTCCCCTCCGGTAAACCGGTAGGGGACTAATAATATACTTTTTTAATTCTTACTTGCAGCTTGTTGTTTTGATGTATTAGTTGTCCTTGTATCACCAGGTTCAGTGCCTGTATCTTTTGATATCACTTTGACTACATATGTTTTTCCAGGTGTCAAACCTGTAACCTTTTGAGGAGATAATGAATCGATCACCTTATCCCCACTTTGCCATTCTACATCATATCCACTTACATAACTAGATCTAATAGGTACAGTCCAAGATACAGTAAATTCTGTGGTTTTAATAATTGGAAACGTAATTCCTGTAACTTGAAGTTCTTGCACTGAAATCAAACAAATGAAATGAACTATTTTAACGTCTGAGGCATTCACTACAATATTAAGAATTATATATTATCCGTTCAAATATTTTTATGTTATGATTTTGTTTTATACCTTCATAACTAGACATATATGATAAGCAACTACATGTACATTACACTCTACATGTATATCATATATTATCATCCATAGATTTAAGCCGATTACCTGGTGTTCCAAGTTAAAATAAAAACAAGAAAATTTGTTGAAAAAGTTATTTTCCATTGTTATGAATTTACTAAATGTGCTTTCTTTAACTGACTTTTGAAGAGGATCTTTGACCTTTTTATTTATATGGGTGAAAACCATTAAAATATTTAATTTTTGAAACATCCCTGGTGGATTATTAGGGAAAAAATTATGCATCATGTCAATGTCAATATATGAGGGCTGTTTGGAAAAATCATATATTTTCATAAAAGCTCTATAATCACAGGAACTAACAAGAGCCATCAAGTGGGAGCCATGTTCAATTTTTTCCTTATTTCTAAAGTTAAACACATAGGAGGAAGAATATTGCAGTATAGAATGCTCCAAAGATAACATCATTTTCTTCTACAAAATAAAATTAAAATTTCATTTTTCAGAATTGTTCAGGTCAACTTTTTAATGCTACATGACAAATATTTTAACTACAGTAGAATCCTCCTTCAGACCAACTCAGATTTTAGACCATCATTTTTTAAAAGAACAGAATTATCTGTTCTTTATGTCAATAACTAACATGTTCCAGAATTTAGACCACCTCGGTTATCCACTTTTAAGACCGCCAAATTCAGTCCCAATTCTTTGATTTATTCTTTATTTGAACTCACTATTGAGACCACTGATTTAAAATCAACACCAAGATTACAGATTTGTTGTTATTATAGATTTGTTGTTATTATCTGCTTGAATGCTCTTAGGTATGACACTTGTTTTTACAAGGTGTCAAAAACTGTTATTAGACATTTCTATCTTAAACGGACTTCGTAAACGTACTCCTTAAAACAGAATAATTTGGGGGATTTTCTCAAAACATAATTGGGGAAATTAAGATAAAATGAGCAGTACCCTTAAACTGGGATGCAGTGATTTCAACATATTAAAGATGGAGACAACATAACCATAATTTATATAAAGACAAAAAACAACAACCAAAAAAAAAAATACAAGTTTCTTAATTCATGGACATTATTGTAGTGCTAATTTTTCAAACGAAGACCAACATGCCATTATGTTTTGAATCTTATGAAAGCAGGGCTAAAGGTAAATGCCATCATTGCTGACGCCAAGTTCAATAAGAGTAGTTTTTTTGGGAGGGGGGGGGATCTCCTGTAGGGAGCCTGATTTTCTCATATTTGATTAACAAGGGAGCGGCTATTCCTCCTGCGATGAGCCGGTCAATTTTGTTGACCTGCTACAATGTTCGAAATAGCTGGCCCTGGGTGCTGACTTTGGTCTTGAACTGCTCTCTCATTATTATTGTTGTCAACCTGTAATTCTTTCTGACGTAGACCGTCTGCGGGCTGCGGAGTTCTATCTCCCCCAACATCATTGTCGTATGTATATATGTATAAAATGTAGTAACACTTCAGTGTGAAATTGCACGAAATTCACGAGCGTTAAATAATCATACAATAATAGTACATATGCTATACCGGCTAACATTTAACCCTAGGTCCTCAAAAGCTGCCGATTTACTTACAATAAAACCTTTGAGTGGCAAAACATGTACATTGCTATTAAACCTTTAAATACTGTTAAAAGTTTTGTTATGTTAGACAACAACTGTGCTTCTTTTCGTTGCAACACTATACTATTTGCATTGTATAAAGATTTTCAGAATGAACGCTAACAGGCGAAGGCTACATTTAGCTTCACTTCCTGCTTTAGTTCAATCCCCGCAACATGTTTCAAAATATATACTAGCCATGCACGGTCATGTTAAGTTACTATAATGATGCCACCTCTAGACTCTGTACTAGATATTCGCAACTGTTTATTTTCAAATGATTCGATTATATATTCCGAAAGAAATGTTTTTCCAAATTTTCTCAGAAAATTTGTACAATTTCTATAACCTAACTTGTAAAGCATCAGAAACATTAATAGATATGTTACATATCAAAAACATAAAATCACAGTCGCCACAAACTGTCTCCAGTAAATAGAATCTTATTGTTTATGATATGGATACGTTTTTACCCAATTCTTAATTGTAACACTTGCCATCATATTCAATGTGTGCACCGCGTATACTGTACATGTTGAAATTCGCACATTTATACGTGCATTTTACACAACATTTGTGAATTACATCACTTTGCTAACCATAGATCAATAGTTTAATAAACGTGGCGACTGGGATAAACTGTGTCCCGCAGTTGGTGCAATAGATGGAACATCACACAAAATATTGCGCCACAATGACAATTCTATTATTGATACTGTCAATTCCACATAATCAACAGATCAGTTATTGATTGTGAATTCAGATGGCGACATTTGTATAATTCTAACACTCGAGATTTCGTGCAATTCCCACTGAAGCATATTTATTCCATATTACTAAGTCCGTTTAAGATAGAAAGGTCTATTAGAAAGTTATTGTATGAAATAAGGGTGAAAGTAAATTTTAGAGTTACTGTGGTTCAATGTTGCTTTCATCATATTTATTTTGCAAAGATTAATTTCTTATATGATAGGTGGTGTACATTATATAATAATTAATATTGAAATCAGACCAAAGAGAATTTATTATTAAAAATATTGTAACTACCTATAGTGTGTGGTATTTTAAACACAACATATCTACTTTGTGTGAAGTTAAAACATGCTTATTTTATATTTACAAAGAACTGTATAACAATTATAAATATTTTCAAATATGAAATTAGATCATAGACAGTATACCTTTAAATTTCTTCATAAAAATGTTTTGCTCTCATCTTATTAAATATCATAATTTGTAGGTTAATATACCATTGTTTTATTGCTCATAGTAAATGACTTAATAGAACATGGTCATAAAGAATGTAAGCAATGATAAGAATATTCAAAATTAAAATCACCCGGCAATTAAGACCACTTCGGTGCAGTCCCAATGGTGGTCTTAATTGAGGGTTTTTACTGTATATGCATTGTAGTTTCACAAAATAAGACTGACATGTGTTTTCTCATACAAGACTATATTAACAAAGTGACCCCAGGCAGGGCCAATATTGACCAAAGGGGCATTAGTAATACCAGTTATTTTGTGGGCCACAAACTGATATTACATGCCACACATCTAAGCCCCGGGCGTCATAGTTCACACAATAAGTTAGATGTTGTTTTCCTATATAAGTGTATATAAATTAAGTGACCCATGGGTTGGGGCCAATATTGAACCAAGGGGCATGGTTCATATCAGTTTGTAAAGGTCAAAGAGGCAATGATACATGCTAAATATCGTAGCTCTAGAAAATGCAGGTTTACAAAATGAAACTTAAATGTGTTTCTGTATATAAGAATTTATAATACTGTATGTTTGTAACATTGCTTTTAATTGGATAATCGTCATGTTTCTATAGTTTTATATACAGGACTGCTTTCAATTTATAAAGAAGTTTCACTATTTTTTCTCTAAAAATGATGCTAAGTTGCTATATTATAAATTTGTTAAAAATATTACTGACAGGTTTTATGACCGTATATTAAAAGATGTTTAAATATAATCCTTGCTAAATATAGGGTCATATAAACTGTAAGAAATCTTTGTCAATTACATGTATAGTATTAATCAAGTATTCCAGACAAGAAATTTTGAAATTTATACAAAATGACCCAGTTTGACCTTGACCTGAGAAAGGTCAAACATGCACTCATAGTATAAACTCTATTGTTCTGTTTACTATAAAATTGCCCCCTATCTCTATTTGGTAACGCAGATGGACAACCAGGTGCATAACAATATACGCCAATATTGTTTTGGGCATATAAAATTATGACCAATGTTAAAGTTTCTGGCTGGCAACAAGAACGGGATCAGACAGCATAACTGTATCAACTGTATCAATAGCTTTATTTTTGTTGTTGAAAAAGTTAAGTTAGAAATACATTAAAGACTACCACTGTAACTATAAGGGTCTGAGATCATATAAATAATGAAGTTGTTACTGCTAGTAAATAATCAAAAAGAACTTTACCTTTTCTGCAATTACTTTGAGAACTCCCTTCATAGAATCGGTAAAATCCAACACTACATGTACATTTTTTGTCAATACATTCAGCATTTGGATCTGAACATTCATTATTTACATTTCCTTGACAATTGCCACCAAGTGCAACATCTGAAATAAGATAATACATTGTATAAAATTAATGAAAAATATAAATATTAAATCTGAAATAATAATTGTACATCTTACTAGATAAGATTTATTGTATACTTTAATAATTTAATTGATACGTACATTTTCTCAGTAATCAGATTTAGCGCTATACCGGGTATGTGGAATAATAAAAGTAGCAAACTGTAAACAAAGTAGTATTTTGACTTCCATACAAAATACTAAATCACTATAACTGAACTAATTACTGAAAAGCAACAGAAGCAAATGATGGTTCAGGAAAGTGGCTTAAAAGAAAGTCTTTGGAAACTGTAAAATGCTACCAAGTTCATAAAGTTTTTGAGAAATAAAGTTAAAAGCATTCTTGAGCCATAATGGGCCTTTTAATAAATCACAACTAAAACTAAAACCTGTGAATCTTAAAATGTGAGAGGAAAAAAAACGTGTCAATTCTAGCCATTTCTCTACATACAAATGTACATGTACTTAACAAACTGTTTACTGCTCGAAGCTCAAATAAAATACAGATGAATGTTAAGTTAAAGGGTCATCAATAAGTTATTTGACATGATTGGATTTGTAACTTGTTTTTAAAGATTAATGTTCCATTTGATAACTGTCTAGAACTATAACATGTGCGCAAATTTTCAGATCATTCACTCTATCGGTTTTCCCAGAATAATTATTCTAATTGTAACGCTTTTCACTGAAATATGGCGAAGAGTAGCACAAGATACGATTTTTAAATTTATTTTTGAGTATATTTCTTAATTATCTTTTGCAACTCTCTGCTTTAAGAGCCCTAGCTGATCTATGTAAGATATTTAAATTCTATTTTTTCCGGCTCAGTGCAGTTCCTTATTACAAATTTATTATGTAAAACTCAAATACACAGAAATTTTTCCTAAGTAACTTATAAAGATTTCAGATACAGCATTCTTCTCCATTCGTAGACATTCCAACACATTCCTTAAATGTCTCTCTTTTCTTTAATCTGCAAATTACGTTACTTACTTGGTTTACAACTACTTCCCTCTGGATGATAACGTTCATCACAGGAACAGATATAGGAGGACAACCATCGACAGCTTGCATTTTGGTCAATACATTGTTTATTGTTCAAATGGTTACTGGAACAAGGACCTCCAAGATTTATCCCTGTAACCATACAATTACATTCACTGTGAACATAATTCACGATCATTTTTTTACTAAACAACTAAATAAAGCTTAAATGAATCTATAATTCTACCATACTGAATAGACATAGAAAGTATTCCTTGTTTGTGTAAATTTCAAAGTGTTTTCAATATTTAAAACTTTACTCATGTCAAATATAGAAATTTTAATTTTCACCATTTTACATACATCGGGATGTTTGAGCTCTAAGAGCTTTTGTATATACAACATGTATAATATAAATATCAAATAAACATACTTGTCTCACAACTACCTCCAATGGTATTGTCAGTGTTTGTATCGTAATATGTGTTGTTACATCTACACTCGCTTCCAACACATGCAGCCCGAGAAAATGAACATGCATTTGGCATAGGACAATTAGAGCCAAGGCCAACCTCTGAAAATATAGAAATATATAAATTTCATACCATTATTAACTTTTTTGATATCACTTTACATGGACTACATAACTTCATACAATAATACAACAGTAAGCAGCTTGTGAAAACTTGCTTTACTTCATTACTTTTTATATCTCATACAAATATCTTACATATCTAACAATTGTAAACACGAAAAAAAAAATCTTATCAACTGACATAAAATGAATATTACATAAAGTAAGATATTAAGGCCAATTTTAGAGAAAACAAGAAATGTCGAGCGACACATATGCCCCCTTTCTAGCCCTTGACTCACATTATTATTAATTTTGTTATAAATGGGTACAAGGAAGTGTTCAGATATGGAAAAAAGAAAAATAATTAAAACTTTGTGAAAAATAGTTTTCATGATAATGAGTGGAAACCATTCTGACATTTAAGGCCCCTGTGACCTTAACATTTGACCTTGTTACCCCAAAATCAATAGGGGTCATCTAATAGTTATGACCAATCAATATGAGAAATATAAAGACTTTGTCATAAATAGTATTCAAGATAATGAGTGGAAACCATTTTGACATTTAAGGCCCCTGTGACCTTGACCTTTGAACTAATGACCCCAAAGCAATAGGAGTCACTTACTAGTTATGACCAATCATGGCCCCTAAGACCTTGATCCTTGACCTAGTGACCCCAAAATCATTAGGGGTCATCTACTAGTTATGACCAATCACTATGTGAAATATGAAGACTTTGTAATAAATAGTAACCAAGATAATAAGTGGAAACCATACTACCATTCAAGACCCCTGTGACCTTGACCTAGTGACCCCTAAATCAATAGAGGTCATCTACTAGTTATGACCAATCACTATGTGAAATATGAAGAGGATGGACGCCAGACAAATTGTGATCACAAAAGCTCACCTTGAGCACTTTTATGCAGGTGAGCTAAAAAGTGCAAGCATTGATGGCATCATATCAAACGTAATCAAAATTTTATAGACGATTCATTTTTAATGCCAATAGATTAAAATTCACACAGTCATATAACCATTAAGTTTATTATCTAACATTACAACAAATCATTTAAAAAATATTTACTCTAGTTATTTAAAAATTTTCAGTATTAACGACATTGGTTTAAGGTTGCCGGCGCACGTCAAATAATTTGCATTTTGTTACGAATAGCCAAAAATTAATTAGGTATATTTAAAATATCTGATGATGTGTCTGCACAATGTCACATTGGCTTCCTCTGCTGCTTTGTTTACATCATCTCAAAATGTTTCAGTTAAATAACTTAAGAAACGAACAAGATACCGATAAATGAAAATATATATCTCGTAGAAAATAAAGTTTAAATGGCGACGTTCGAAGAATTTGCGGCACAGTGAACAGGTCACTCCGGTTTCGTGACTATTTTGAGATGACATATCTTACGATGTTCTACAAATATACCAAATAGAACAGTTTTAAGCAACATATCCTAAGCATTTGTCTACTATATCCATGAACGGAACCAGAGTTCTGCGCTACAAAAAGCGCAAATAAGGAAAACACGAATAGGAAGGCCGATCTCCGTCGCCTGTTTCCTGCAGCTAAAAGCAGGTGCAACGAGACCGGAAGTTTGTGTATAGCAAAAATTTATGTATGGCATCCAGACATTCAACAGACATTAACCACCATATGATATAAGTTTGTAATTGACGATTTATGGGTAAAGCTGCACCATTATTGAGTTGAAAGCAATTGAGAGTTTGAGAAAGGCGCCTTATATAGATTTAACGGCGTCTTTGACGCTTGAAGTGCGTTTATGGCATATTTTTGTTGTTTGTTGGTATTTTTCTATGTAAATTTGTGAAAATGTTTCAATTATATGGGTTTTTAACATATTTAAATATCAAATTCGTACCTATTTTATTTAGCTTTTAAACAATTTTGTCACAGAATATTGGGACAACCCACGTATATATATTTTATATCAGGGTTTTTTTTGTATCTAATTTTCGCTTTAATCACATGCGATGAATATCGCAAAAGAAAAATAGATTCGCTAAATTTTTCTTCAATTTCATACAGGGATATCTGGAGTTTCTGGAACGTTCTTTTCTGCTTTTCATTTGCTATCCAGTTAAGTCCTATTAATTTTACATGTATACCTACAAATCAATTTATTAAAAATATCAATTTTCGATAGTCAAGGTTTTAAGAATTTAATCCTTGTCTTTTTTATTTTACTTTTCCTTTAGTACATATAGATGTTAAGTGACACAATGAGCATTTATGCTTATTTAATTGCTTTTCCTATATAACAAGAATTTGTAACAGAGTTACCAACGTCCCCCGCCTCGGCAAGTTTTATATGAAGCATAAGATTGTGCTATTTCAAAAGATTGAGGTATGGATCTCAGGACATTCAGTCCAAAATTATGATCAATGCTAGATCTGCAAATGCAACAATAAATTTGTTAAAAAAATAAAATGAAATACGGAGTTCAAAAATCTACCATGTTAAGATTTGACCTCTAAGTGTGACCTTGACCTTGGAGGTAGGGGAACAGGTGTTGTGCATGACATAACGTCTTATTATTGAGACTATTTGTGCCAAGTATTTTCAAAATCCCTTGAACTATGAAGAAGTTATAGATTGGACACAAAATATACCCTAACAGACTATGTAAATTCTTTGACCTCTAAGTGTGACTTGACCTTGGAGGTAGGGACACAGATGTTTACGCATGACATATCATCTAATCATTGTGATTATTTGTGCCAAGTATTTCAAAATCCCTTAATCTATGAAGAAGTAATGGATGGGACACAAAATATACCAAATAACAGACTCTTGTTAACCTTTGACCTCTGAGTGTGACCTTGACCTTGGAGGTAGGGATGCAGGTGTTGTACTTGACATATCATCTTATTATTGTGACTATTTGTGCCAAGTTATTTCAAAATCCCTGGAACTATGAAGAAGTTCTAGATCCTACACAAAATATACCCTATAACAGACTATGTTAATTTTTTACCTCTAAGTGTGACCTCGACCTTGGACTTAGGGACGCAGGTGTTGCGCAAGACACATTGTCTTATTATAATGACTACTTGTGGCAAGTATTTACAAAATTCTTTGATCTATGAAAAAGTTATGGACTGGACACAAAATATACCCTGTAAAAGACTATGTTAATCTTTGACCTCCAACTGTGACCTTGACCTTGGAGGTAGGTGACCGTTTGTTGCGCCTGACACATTGTCTCATTATTGTGAACAATTGTGGCAGTATTACAAAATCCCCTCAAGATAAGAAAGTTATGGACGAAACAGACATATACCATCAAATAGACAATGTTGACCTTGAATGAGCAAGTGCGACCTTGACCCTGGAGGTAAGGGTATCCCTATAGCATGCCGTCCATGACATATCGTCTTAATTAAACAAAATTTGTGCCAAGTATTTTCAAATTAACTTTGATCTATGAAAAAGTTTGGACCACCGAAAGGAAATATACCCTGTAACAGACTATGTTAATCTTTGACCCCCAAGTGTGACCTTTGACCTTGAAGGTAGGTGACCGGTTTTTTGCACATGACACATCGTCTGATTTTGTGAACATTATGGCAGTATTTACAAAAATCCCCTTCATAATAAGAAAGTTATGGACCGGACACAACATTACTCTCAAATAGACAATTGTTGACCTTGACCCTGGAGGTAGGGCCCCGTCTGGTTGTTGCGCATGACACATCGTCTTATTATAATAAACATTTGTGCCAAGTAATTTTCAAATTCTTTTCATAAATGACAAAGATGATAATGGACCAGACACGAAAGTATGACATACGGACAACGGACGGACGTTCTAACAGGAGAGTAATAATGTGGCTACTCTATTGTTCTTTTTAGCCACACAAAAGAAAATAGCCACATCAAACAGACGGACGGACGAACATCCTTACATTTGTATTCTTGTTGGGTATTTTACTGTGTAAAAAAGTACCCAACAATACATCAGAATACCCAACAATAACATACGGAGTGAGTAGGATTGGTAGTTGTTGGGTATTTAGTACCTTACATATACCCTCTTGTGCGCTCAGACGGACGGAGCCTATTTCTATATCCCCCTTTTTTCTTCGAAAAGGCTGGGAACAAAAAGATAATTAACATCTTGCAAACATAGGCAGCTTAACAATAATATGTTTACAATAAGGGGAGATGATATGTTTACAATAAGGGGAGATGATGCAATAAGTTTAAGATACCGAATTAACCGATACATCAATACAAATATTGAAAACAAAGTTTTAACTGGGAACAGTAAATCATACAAAAAGCAGTTTCTCTTTGTCACAGAAAAGAAGCATGTACAAATTCTGAGATTTTTTGTTTGTTTCATTTTACGCCTTTTCCCAACAGTATTTCAGTCATATAGGCGGGTAGTTTCCTAACCATCGTTCCTGAAGAGTTACACCAGTACTAGACTACCTTCCTCCGCGCACAAATTCTGTGAAGTCATATTCCAGTTTGACTGTCACAGAATAAAAGACTTTCTTTTTTTAATTTAAATCTTTTATTTTCATTTATCAGCTATCACATACATCTATGCTATAACATCATGGACATCTGGGATTGTCACAGAAATAAGCCGACCTTTCCGAAGAAGACTTTTGTGTTAACAATAGAAATTTGAACTACTTATTTGCAGCAAGAACTATTCAACTGTTATGCAATTATATTTGTAAGTTTCAAACCCGTTGATGTCAGAATGATTTCCCCAGACAGTTTAGTAATACACAAAACTGTTGACTGATTGGTATATATATGACCTTTCTCAATCAATACTGGGGAAACTTTTCAACAACTGTCTGCATAAATGACCCCGCCTACAATTATCTGGCAGTTTGTCACATATGTAGGTTGGCAAAGTCTTTTAAAGTCATGATTAGACTGCCATTTAGTGATTATTGACACTTCTACCACATCAAACGATCTCTAGTGCCTGTCAATCACTTGTCTCCAGGATCAGTTCATAGTGTGATAAGGTCAAAAGTTGCAATTTTATTTTTAACTGTCATTATATACATTTGTAAGAAAATAATTGTGTGCAAATAATTTTACTTCTTCAAATGTTTGCATACTTGCAATTATTTCGGGAGTGTAACGATTTCGTGCATTTTGAGTATCCGAATCTCGAGACGATTACTTAGCATTTTAATTTTAAGTATCTCTACATTGATCCAGAGATGTAGATGTTATCTATGTCTTTGATTGATCATGGAGTATGTCTATAAAATAAACTGCGATGACTTTTCTGAAATACATCATGAGACAGACTATTCATTGTCCCTGGTCGTAAAGCTTCCGCAGTGATGGTTCTGGCTTCCAAAACTTAACAAGAGCCATGTCAACATGGCCATCCCTCGCCGAATGTGTTTGCTCATTGGAAGAATGTATATGTAGTAGAGCAGAATAATTCCATTTTAAGAGGTCTTTTGGTAATGAAAACTGATGGCTATAGTGATTACAGATTTGAAACCTATGTGAATACTGAGGCTGAAATAACAAAGGGCAATAACTGAAAAATAATGCAGGGTAGGTTATCATTCTTGTGTGCTGCATTCCTCCTCAGTAAAAACCTATCCACCTATGAAGTTTCAAGTTGATACCTCAAAATACTTTTTGAGAAAAAAAATTGAATTGAAAAATTAAGTATGAAAAATAACAAAGGCAATAACTCAAAAATTATAAAAGGTAGAGTTATCATTCTCGTGCACTGCACACCTCCTGAGTGAGATCTGTTGCACCTATGAAGTTTCATAATGATATCTCAAAGGCCTTTTGAGTTATGCTCTGGAACAAAAATTAATTTTTCAAAAAAAAAAGGGCAATAACTAAAACAATTATGCAGGGTAGAGTTATCGTTCTTGTGCACTGCACTCTTCCTCAATGAGATTCAATCCACTATGAATTTCAAGTTGATACCTCAAATACTTTTTGAGATAAGCTCCGGACAAAATAGTATGTAAAAGAACAAAGGGCAATAACTCAAAATTGTACAGGGAAGAGTTATCATTCTTGTGCACAGAATTCCTCCTCAATAAAATCTATCCACCTATGACATTTCATGTTGACAATCTCAAACACTTTTGAGTTATGCTCCACTCGGGGTGAAAAATTAGGTAAGAAAAATAACAAAGGGAAATAACTCAAAATTATGAAAGGTAGAGTTATCATTCTTGTGCAACTGAACACCTCCTGAGTGAGATCTATGCACCTATGAAGTTTCATTTTGATATCTCAAAGGCTTTTTGAGTTATGCTCTGGACAAAAATTAATTTTAAAAAATAACAAAGGGCAATAACTCAAAAATTATGCAGAATAGAGTTATCATTCTTGTGCACTGCACTCCTCCTCAATAAGGTCTATCCACCTATGAAGTTTCAAGTTGATAACTCAAATACTTTTAGAGATATGCTCCAGACAAAAATGTCGGACGGAAGGACGGACGGGCGGAAGGACGGACGTTCTCACAGGACAGTAATTATGTGGCTACTCTATTGTTCTCTCTATTGTTCTTTTTAGCCACACAAAAGAAAATAGCCACATAGAAGCATTACGGAATGAATGACATCAAAGAGAAAGAACAGTTACCTATTGTCCCTCTAGCCACATAATTACTCTCCTGTGAGTGCGGAAGTTCGGTCGGACGGACGACGGACGGACGGAGACTATTTCTATATCCCCCGCCGCCTTTTCGGCGGGGGATAATAAGCCGATTTTTTTCAAACATTTTTTCTTTATATGATGCGGCATTGTCACAGTATAAAAACAGGTAAGCTGGATTCTTTACGATACCACAGTGATAAAGCATAGTGCATGCTTTACTGTATCAAATATTTGCATGTTGTAAATATCAGTATACTAGGTTATATGCTGCTATGTTAATTTCTGAAACATTTTTTAAAGTATCTGAGAAATCAGTCTAGAAATTATTGCATGTATGGTTATCAGCATATCTCCAAAAGGGTGGGCATGCATACATAGGTATCACATGATTAACAATGTACATAAGAAACATATATAAAATAAACTCATACTGATAACACAGTTATTTCCATTCCAATAATATCCATTTACACATTGGCAAGTTTCACTTTTACATTCAGTATATTGCCCTTCACACTTGTCTCCACCCATCTTACATGGTTGCCCAAAAGGAATCACTGGAAATTAAACGTCATATAATATTAATATACTACACTTTTTACAATAATACATCTTTTCCTCTTATCACGTAACACATTATTGTAGAAGGATAATGAAGTTTTACGTGGCACTAATCATCAAGTGTAAACATAGTAAACAGAGTAATGCATGGTCAGTATGACCTGTACCTTGATACATCAGCCTAGCATGATCATGTATTTTATGAAGTTTGTTGGATCAAATGGTTTTCTAGTTACTGACTGAAAACAAACTAACCTAAGACAAATCAACATTCTTTTTTCTCAAAAGGGGGCAAAATTAAACTGTTTAAGGTAGCTACTATTTTTATCTGAAAATGACTTTTTGTGACTTTCCTGTGATATTTTTTTATTTTATATAATGTGGTTAGTTTATTTCTTTATTTTATTTTATTTCATAAAATTTTATGAATGCTCTACTGTTGTAATTACTTAATAGATAAAAGATAAACAAATTCTCTATATTTAAGCAGTTTTCATAAAGGACTTGCATTGATTGGCAGAAGATGTGGCTTAACTAAAAATGTTAATGACAGATGACCAACACAGGGGTATCATTAAAGCTCACATTGATCCTTTTTGTCCTCTGGTGAGCAAAACCATTGTTAAATTTTAAGTCCCTTAGTCCATTAATTGTGCATATCTCTATCAAAGACACTACTTTTGTTACAAATTTAGCATTTATTAAATAGATAAAATATTACCTAGGCAGTTTTGAGAGTTACACTGTTGACCTTGAGAATTACTACCAGAACATTTATGCAATCCTTTAGGATAATTTACTAATTATACCCCCAAAAACAAAGTTTTGGGGGGGGGGTATATAGGAGTCACTCGGTGGTCGGTCGGTTGATCGGTCGGTCGGTCGGTTGGTCGGTCGGTCGGTCGGTCGGTTGGTCGGTCCAGCGGTCCGTTGCATTTTCCTTGTCCGGAGCATTACTTGGAGACTAATGGTTGGAATTCAATATAACTTCATACAATGGTCAGGCACATTTAGAGGAAGTGCAGTGCACAAGAACCATAACTCCATCTTGACTAATTACAGAGTTACTGCCCTTTGTTACTTTTCCTTGTCCGGAGCATAACTTGAAAACTACTAGTTGATACTCGAAACAACTTCATACAATTGTCAAGCACAATAAGGGGAAGTGGAGTGCACAAGAACCATAACTCTATCTAAAGTAATTACAGAGTTATTGCCCTTTGTTATTTTTCCATTGCTTTCTTTTGTCCGGACTATAACTTGAAGACTAATGGATGGAATTCAATATAACTTCATACAATGGTCAAGCACATTGAGAGGAAGTACAGTGCACAAGAACCATAACTCAATTTTGACTAATTAAAGAGTAACTGCCCTTTGTTACTTTTCCTTGTCTGGAGCATAACTTGAAAACTACTGGTTGGAATTCAAAACAACTTCATACAATGGTCAAGCACAATAAGGGAAAGTGCCATGCACAAGAACCATAACTCCATCTTGACTAATTACAGAGTTATTGCCCTTATTTACTTTTTCATTGCTTTTTTTGTCCGGAGCATAACTTGGAGACTAATAGTTGGAATTCAATATAACTTCATACAGTGTTCAAGCACATTGAGAAAAAGTGCAGTGCACAAGAGCCATAACTCCATCTTGACTAATTACAGAGTTATTGCCCTTTGTTACTTTTCCTTGTCCGGAGCATAACTTGAAAAGTACTGGTTGAAACTCGAAACAACTTCATACAATTATCAAGCACAATAAGGGGAAGTGCAGTGCACAAGAACCATAACTCCATCTTGACTAATTACAGAGTTATTGCCCTTTGTTACTTTTCCTTGTCCGGAGCATAACTTGAAAAGTACTGGTTGAAACTCGAAACAACTTCATACAATTATCAAGCACAATAAGGGGAAGTGCAGTGCACAAGAACAATAACTCCATTTTGACTAATTACAGAGTTATTGCCCTTTGTTACTTTTCCTTGTCCGGAGCATAACTTGAAAAGTACTGGTTGAAACTCGAAACAACTTCATACAATTATCAAGCACAATAAGGGGAAGTGCAGTGCACAAGAACCATAACTCCATTTTGACTAATTACAGAGTTATTTTGCCCTTTGTTACTTTTCCTTGTCCGGAGGCATAACTTTGAAAAGTACTGGTTGGAATTCAATACAACTTCATGCAGTTGTCAAGCACATTTAGAGGAAATGCAGTGCACAAGAATTATAACTCCATCTTGACAAATTACAGAGTTATTGCCCTTTGATACTTTTCCTTGTCCGGTGCATAACTTCAAACTTACTGGTTGGAATTTAAAACAACTTCATACAATGGTCAAGCACAATAAGAGGAAATGCAGTGCACAAGAACCATAACTCCATTTTGACTAATTACAGAGTTACTGCCCTTTGTTGCTTTTCCTTGTCCGGAGCATAACTTGATAACTACTGGTTGGAATTCAAAACAACTTCATACAATGTCAGCACAAGAACTATAACTCTGTCCAGAGTAATTATAGTGTTATTGTCCTTTGTTACTTTTCCATTGCTTTTTTCTTGTCCAGAGCATAACTTGAAAACTACTAGTTGGAATTCAAAACTATTTCATGCAATGGTCAAGTATATTGAGAGGAAGTGCAGTGCACAGAAACCATAACTGTTTTTGACTAATTTAAAAGTTTTTGCCCTTTGTTACTTTTTATTGTCCTGTGCATAACTTGAAAGTTAATGGTTGGAATTCAATGAAACTTTATACAATGGTCAAGGGCAGTGAGATGAAGTGCAGTGCTCAAGAACAATAACTCTATTTGGACTAATTACAGTTATTGCCTTTGTTACTTTTTTTGTCCAGTGCATATCTTGAAAACTAGTAGTTGAAATTCAATACAACTTCATAGAATGGTCAAGTGCAATGAGAGGAAGTGCAGTGCACAATAACCATAACTCAATCTTCAGTATTTATAGAGTTATTGCCCTTTGTTCCTTTTCCTTGTCTTCTGGACTTATTACAGAGTAATCCAATAAAACTTCATCAATGGCCAACCACATTGAAAGGAAATGCAACATACAAGAACCACAACCATCTTTTATTGCCCACAACCATAACTCTATTTCAATTCTTTACAAGGTATTCTGTTACTAGTAACATCCTCATTTCCGAGCAGTCTTGCAGGGGGTATTAATCACATTTAGTGATAGTTCTAGTTTTCACAAGTATTACAAAATGTAAAACAGATAAAATATTACCGAGACAGTTTGAGAGTTCCACTGTTGACCTTGAGAATCACTACCAGAACATTTATGCAATCCTTTAGGATAATTTACTAATTTTCACAAGTATTACAAAATGTAAAACAGATAAAATATTACCGAGACAGTTTGAGAGTTACACTGTTGACCTTGAGAATCACTACCAGAACATTTATACAATCCTTTAGGATAATTTACTAATTTACACAAATATTACCACATGTAAAACAGATAAAATATTACCTGGGCAGTTTTGAGTGCTACAATCTTGAGTACCAGAACCACTACCAGAACATTGTGCACCACCATACTGTGGTTCAGGGTTTGTACAAGATCTAGACCTGGTCTGTCTTCCTCCAGCACATGTGACTGAACAAGTACCCCATGTATACCATTGAGTCCATCCACCATTAACTTTCAAAAATGAAAACAAAAAAAACTTGTTATTTCTATAGTTATTTTATCTTAATGCATTTATGCCTCATAATTGATGATTTGCTTTTGAATATACCGGTAAGGTGCAAAGGTCAATGTAAAGACACATATATGTACAATAACAGAAAGGGTCAAAATGTCCCTGAATCACTCACCTTATAATATGGTTCATATGAAAATATTTCATTATTATGTCAATCCTATTTAGTTAATCAAAATCAGTAGAGTGGTTGTTGAAATGTTATTTAAGTCTTGTTTCTACATTTAATTTGCAGGAAGTTAACAAGTTCAGGAAACTGTCATGATTTGAACAACTTTGAAACCTTTTAATGACAACTAGACCTATCATTGAAGGTGATTAATACCCCCACCAGCAAGTTTGACCTTTTGAAAAATAAGTAGTCTGAAAAAAAAAATGAACACAAACTATCAAATGTGTACAAAGAAATATTTCAATTAAACTGGGGTCTCCAAATAAGCTTGCTATACACAAAGTTTGATTACAATATCTCATTCCTAACTCCAGTTATTGTCCAGAAACCATTTTTTCTATTTTTAATAGTGACCTTGATCTTGAGCCCAGCGGGCCCAAATGCGATACCAGCCCGGGTCTTCATATAAGCTTACTTTACACCAAGTTTTATTACAATATCTCATTCCTAACTCTAGTTATTGTCCGGACACCATTTTTCTATTTTCAGAACACTGTTATGGTGACCTTGACCCCAGGGGGTCCAAATGCAATACCAACCCAGGTCTTCATATAAGCTTGCTATACACCAAGTTTACAATATCTCATTCCTAACTCTAGTTATTGTCCAGAAACCATTTTTCTATTTTTAGTATTGATGACCTTGACCTAGATCCCAGGGGGTCAAAAGCAATACCAACCCAGGTCTTCATATAAGCTTGCTATATACCAAGTTCGATTCCAATATCTCATTCCTAACTCTAGTTATTGTCAAGAAACCATTTTTCTTATTTTAGTAATGGTGACCTTGACCTTGACCCCAGGGGGCCCAAATGTAATACAAACTCAAGTCTTCATATAAGCTTGCTATACGCGAAATTTGATAACAATATCTCATTCCTTACTCTTGTTATTGTCCGGAAACCATTTTTCTATTTTAGTAACGATTACCTTGACCCCAGGGGTTCCAAATGCAATACCAACCGGAGTCTCCACATAAGGTTGCTATATACCAAGTTTAATTACAATACCTCATTCCAAACTCTAGTTATTGTTTGGAAACCATGATGTTGACCAACCGACTGACAGACGGACCGACCAACCCAGAGACAAGCTGACTCCTATATTCCTATATACCCCCCTTAAACTTCGTTTGTGGAGGTATACTGACAACACCCCTGCAATCACAATAGCTAGACTTTCTCTTCGTAACAGACCAGCTAACAAGTGCTGTCACAGGAGACAGCGAAGCTCGACTAATAAAATACTGGACGCAGTAAGGAGGACAAAACTATGAAAGAAAAATCAATTATGTATAATTATGTATTATAAGTTATAGTTAAAAAAATAACATTTGTTAACATAAATTCCAAGATCAAGGGGAACAATTCTAGAAATAGTCATGCTAGAGTTATGAACCTTGTCACACAACATGTTTATAATGATAAGAAATATATATATTTGAAGTTTGAAGTAGATACCTTAAAAAGTAAAGAAGTTATAATATTTCTTAAAGAAAATCTTAAGTTCAAAGAGAGATAAATCTGTTAATATTGCTTCAAGAGTTATGAACATTGTCACATAAAATGTAATTGATGATAAGGAATACATGTAAGTATTTGAAGTTTGAGTTAGATACCTTTAAAACTAAAAAAGTTATAGTAAATAATAACATTTTTCTAGTATAAAAATCAAAGTTTAAGGGGAGATAATTCTTGCAATATTGGTGCTAGAGTTATGAACCTTGTCACATAACATGTGGATGATAATAAGGTACATATATTTGAAGAATGAGATTGATCCCTTAAGAAATAAAGAAGTTACAGTCAAAGAATAGTATTTTTGTAAGGAAAATTCTAGGTTCAAGGGGAGATAAATCTGCTAATATTGGTGTTAGAGTTATGAACCTTGTCACATAAGATTGGGATGATGATAAGGTACATATATATGAAGTATGAGGTTGATCCCTTAAGAAGTAAAGAAGTTACAGTCAAAGAATAGTATTTTTTTAAGGAAAATTCTAGGTTCAAGGGGAGATAAATCTGCAAATATTGGTGCTAGAGTTATGAACTTTGTCACATAAGATGTGGTTGATGATAAGGAACATATATTTGAAGTTTGAAGTTGATATCTTAAGAATTGACAAAGTTATAGTGAAAAATATTTTACTGCACCAAAACTTAAATATAAAATCTTGACGCGGACGCTGGGCCGAGTAGGACAGCTCTCCATATACTTCGTATAGTCGAGCTAAAAATGCGACAAGAAAATGTGTTCAGGGTTTTTTTAGTAATTAATGGCCTTGCAATTACATTTAAATGTTATTTTTTGGTATACAGCCATAAGTCAAGTTGAATTTTATAATGTACAATTCTTGGATATGAAATTGGCTCAGGTATAGCAGTGTATTGTTTTGGAAACCAGGACCATTTGAACAATTCAAGTAAATGGCCACTTATGGATCATTTCTATAGAATTTCATCAAAATATATTAGGGAGATGCCAACTTCAAAACTTTTTTCTATTTTTAGCTATGGTTGCAATCTTGTTGAACAAACTGGAACAAGTTAAGCAATTTAAAAAAAAAGACTACTGGTACCTGATGATCAGTCTGTACAGTTTCATAGAAATCTACCACATGATTGAGGAGAAATGTTGTTCAAAAAGTATTTCTATTTTTAGCTCTGGTGGCCATCTTAATCAACCAAATGGAACCATTTAAAAATTTGAGAGGACCACTGAAGACCATTCCTGTTTTGTGTTATCAAAATCTACAAAGTGGCGAAGAAGTATGTAGTTTATAGATTTTTATTTTATAAAGCTTGGGTGACCATCTTCTTCAACAGACTAAAACAAATTGATCAAGGACTTTTCATCAAATCTACCAAGTTAAGTTAAAGAGGAGATGTTGTTTTTCAGCTTATTTCTATTTTCAGCTGTTGTGGCCATCTTGCACTGTTAGTGGACGGAGCAATTTGAGCATATTTTATAGAGGACCAACATATGACAATTTCTGCATAGTTTCATCACTCCTGGCCAAGTGGTTTAGGAGATGATGATGTTAAGGTAAAAATATTAACGCCAGATGACGGACATAGGGGTATCACAAGAGCTCATTCTGAGCTTGTTGTTCTCTGGTGAGCTAAATAATTTTTAATTTTAAATCTCTCAATTAATTGTACATATTTCTATTAAAGACGCTACTATTGTTACAAATATTAGCATTTATTAAATAGATAATATATATCACTGGGCAGTTTTGATAGTTTTGACCTTGAGAATCACTACCAGAACATTTATGCAATCTTTTAGGATAATTTACCAATTTTCACAAGTATTACCAAATGTAAAACAGATAAAGAATTACGTGGGCAGTATTGAGTGTTACACTGTTGAGAATCAGAACCAATTCCAGAACATTCTGCACCACCATATTGTGGTGCAGGGTTTGTACAAGTTCTAGACTTGGTCTGTGTTCCTCCACCACATGTGACTGAACAATCACCCCATGTTGTCCATGGAGTCCATCCACCATTAACTTAAATGAATAAATATTATATATAAGTTATTTCAATATTTATTGTTGTCTTAAAGGCCTCAGAAATGATTTTTTTTTCATTCTTTGGAAAAGGCAAACATGAGTTTATAATGTTGGAATAATGGTTTTAGAGCATTTTAGGTGATTATCGAATAAAGAAAGTAACGATTTATGTGAAATTATTTGTCACATTAGTAGCGAATGTAAACAAGAAGTATTTTGGTTTCCATTCAAAATACCATATTTTTTCAAAATGCCATGCAACAGAAGCAGAATGAAGGTTCAAAATTGGCTAATGAGTAACTTTTTTTAAACTATAATTGGACTCACAACAAAATGGTCAAGATTGCCCTAATATTGCTAATCTTAATATAAATACTCTCTATGACAAGGAACAAGTAATATCGTAAACTATAAACCAAATAAAAGCAGATATAAAATCTAAATCTTAAACTGTTACTGATATCACAAAGTTTGTAATTGTATCAGAAAAAGAGCACATGTTAAACAACTTTACTGGTTGCTATTGCTAAGGGAGAACAACAGTTACATAAGAAGTAACTATACAAAATAAATGATTTCCTTGGAAGTCAGTGCCTGCTATAATATTCAAAGGTTAATTCACTCATTGCTATGGAAAGTAAATGTTTGCTATGAAGGTCATTGGTTGCTATGAAAATTAACAGTTTGTCATTAAAAGTCAATAGCTGCTATTAAGTCAATGGTTGCTATGGAAACTAAAAGCTTTAGCTCATGTAGATTTAGGGAAGAAACAAGAATGTCGAACGACACATATACCTCCTTTCTAGCCATTGACTCACATAATTGGTAATTTTATTACAGAAACTTGCCAAAAATGGGTACATGGAAGTGTTCAATTATGGAAAAATCAACGGAAACCTTTTTGACATTTAAGGCCCATGTGACATTTACCTTTGACCTAATGACCACTAAATCAATAGAGGTCATCTACTACTTATGACCAATAACTAGGTGAAATATGAAGACTCTGTGATGAATACTTTTCAAGATAATCAGCGGAAACCCTTTTGACATTTAAGGCCCCTGTGACCTTGACCTTTGACCTAGTGACCCCAAAATCAATAGGGGTCATCTACTACTTATGACCAATCACTATGTGAAATATGAAGTCTTTCTGATGAACACTTTTCAAGATAATCAGCGGAAACCATTTTGACATTCAAGGCCCCTGTGACCTTGACCTTTGACCTAGTGACCCTAAAATCAATAGGGGTCATCTACTAGTTATGACCAATCACTATGTGAAATATGAAGACTTTGTGATGAATACTTTTTAAGATAATCAGCGGAAACCATTATGACATTTTAAGGTCCCTGTGACCTTGACCTAGTGACCTCAAAATAAATAGGGGTCATCTACTAGTGATGACCAATCACTATGTGAAATATGAAGACTTTGTGATACATACTTTTCAAGATAATCAGCGGAAACCATTTTGACATTTAAAGGTCCCTGTGACCTTGACGTTTGACCAAGTGACCCCAAAATCAACAGGGGTCATCTACTAGTTATGACCAATCACTATGTGAAATATAAAGACTTTGTGATACATACTTTTCCAGATAATCAGGGGAAACCATTTTGACATTTAAGGTCCCTGTGACCTTGACCTTTAACCTAGTGACCCCAAAATCAATAGGGGTTATCTACTAGTGATGACCAATCACTCTCTGAAATATGAAGACTTTGTGATACATACTTTTCAAGATAATCAGCTGAAACTATTTTGACATTTAAGGCCCCTGTGACCTTGACCTTTGACCTAGTGACTCCAACATCAATAGGGGTCATCTACTAGTTATGACCAATCACTGTGTGAAATATGAAGACTTTGTGATACATACTTTTCAAGATAATCAGCGGAAACCTTTTTAATATTTAAGGTCCCTGTGACCTTGACCTTTGACCTAGTAACCCCAAAATCAATAGGGGTCATCTACTAGTTATGACCAATCACTATGTGAAATATGAAGACTTTGTGATAAATACTTTTCAAGATAGTCAGCGGAAACCATGTGGTCTACCGACGGACAGACCGACGGACCGACAGACAGACAGACCGACATTAGCAAAACAATATACCCCCTCTTCTTCGAAGGGGGGCATAATTATATTAAATGTTCTACTATATATATTTCAGGAAAATTTATGTTCCCCCGGGTGGGCCAATTCTTACTTAAAGGCTCTAATTTGAACAACTTTTGTAGAGGTCCACCAGATAATGCTTTATATCAAACATCCAAGCTTAAACCTCTGTAGTTTGATAAAAGAAGCCAAGCTTAAACCTCTGTAGTATGATCAAAGAAGATTTTTTTGTTTTTACCATATAAATAGATTTATGGAAAATCAATCATCCCCCCAGGGCAGGGCCAATTTTGATCTAGGGGTAGTTTGAACAAACTTAGGTCTACTAGATAATGTTTCATGTAAAAAAACTAGCTTTCACTCCACAAGTGAACGTAGAATGGCCATGACTTACACTATACCCCCGTTCCCCCTCTACAACCCAAAATATGATAAGCAAGATCAACAAGGAAAGGCGGCGTTCAATGAACGCAACCCCCATATATGACCCAGCAACAAGAACCAATGGCAAGGAGCCCAGGCGGACCCCAAACAAAAACAGGACAGGGCAAAGACAGAGCACGGACAGGTTAATCACCAAATGATAAATAATTTGTAACTGGTTAGGAATTCAAAGAAAATAATAATAGGCCCACAAAGGGGAAGGGGACAGGAGACCGGGGGAAGGGGGGGGGGGTTAATCAAAGAAATAAAAAAACTAGAGGCAATGGGGAAGATACTTACCGTAGACGAGAAAACAACAAGTGACACAAGCAAAAGTGTCACCAAAACAGTATGAAACAACATAGACATACATCTGAGGAACACAGTGGGGCGCCGCCTTGGAACGGTCAGCAGCATAATAATGACTGCTGGGGAGTTTAAACCGGTTAATGGTGCACCAAAACCCTTAAACATTATCCAAACATCATTTTGAGTCATAAATTTTTTTTCATAAAATTTATATATTTATATGTGTGTGTATGTATTGTATAAGTATATGTATATAATAATATATAATATATATATGGTCATTTAATGCACAAATAAGTGGAAATTCAGTAATTTAACCTTTAAGGTCAAAGTTATTAAAGAGCCCAAGTCAATTTGAGTTTGATAAACATGAAGGTCTTGTCCTTAAGAATGTCTAGTCAATCCATTCAATAATAGCAGTTACAGCCAATAATAGCCAAAAAAATGAAAATTTTAATAATTTGACCTTCAAAGTCAAGGTCATTGATGAGTGGAGGTCAAGGTCTGTCTGGTTTTTTTTAAGGCTATCCTTGAAGATTATTATGTTCAAGTTTGAAGACAATCCATTCAAAATAAAAAAAGTTACTGTTACAGCAAATAATAGCCAAGAAAATGAAATTTTCAATAATTTGACCTTTAAAATCAAGGTCATTTATGAGTGAAGGTCAAGGTCTGTCTGGTTAATTTTAAGGTCTATCCTTGAATATTATTATGTTCAAGTTTGAAGACAATCCATTCAAAAATAACAAAGTTACAGCCAATAGTAGCAAAAAATATATAAATGAAATTTCAATAATTTGACCATCAAAGTCAAGGTCACTTATGAGTGAAAGTCAAGGTCTGTCTGGTTATTTTTAAGGGCTTTCCTTGAAGATAATATTATGTTAAAGTTTGAAGACAATCATTTCAAAAATAACAAAGTTACAGCAAATAATAGCAAGAACAAGTAAAATTTGGACTTTTGACCTTGAAGGTCAAGGTCATTTACGGATGAAGGTTAGTGTGGTCTACTGAAAGGTCTTGTCCCAAGGGTTGTTGTAGCCAAGTATAAAGACAATACACCAAGAACTAAAAAGTTATGATCAAGGTACAAGTTTGCGGAAGGCAACGGCTACGGCAACGGCTACGGCAACGGCAACACCACCTGCTAGGAATATAACAATACCTCTACCTTTTTTTACAAAAAAGTCGAGCTAAAAAGAGAGCATTGACACTTCTCAACATTTTTTTAGAACCGGTTGAACCAGGTGATGCTCCCCAAGAAGGTTTTGGACACAGGAAATTATAAAAAATTGAACAAAGGGTAATAACTCCAAAATTAGGCAAGGCAGAGTTATGTTTTTTTTGCACTGCACTTCTATTCAATGAGATCTATCAATCTATAAAGTTTCATGATGATATCTCTTATAGTTTCCGAGTTATGTCCTGGGTAAAATTCAAAGTTAAAAAAGAACAAAGGGCAATAACTCCAAAATTAGACAAGGCTGTATTTAGGCTCTTTAGCATTGCAGTTCTATCCAATGAGATCTAATAACATACAAAGTTTCATGTTGATATCTCTTATAGTGTTTGAGTTATGTCCCGGACAAAGTTCAAAGTGTAAAAATAAACAAAGGGCAATAGTTCAACAAGAGCTGTCACAGGAGACAGCCAAGCTCGACTAATAAAATACTGGACGCAGTAAGGAGGACAAAACTATGAAAGAAAAATCAATTATGTATTAAGTTATAGTAAAAAAATAACATTTGTTAAAATAAATTCCAAGATCAAGGGAAATAATTCTAGAAATAATCATGCTAGAGTTATGAACCTTGTCACACAACATGTATGTAATGATAAGAAGTATATATTTGAAGTTTGAAGTTGATACCTTAAAAAGTAACAAAGTTATAATATTTCTTAAAGAAAATCCCAAGTTCAAAGAGAGATAAATCTGTACAAATTACTTCAAGAGTTATGAACATTGTCACATAAAATATAATTGATTAGATTATAAGGAACAAGTATTTGAAGTTTGAGGTAGATACCTTTAAAACTAAAAAAGTTATAGTAAAAAATAATATTTTTCTAGTAAAAAATCTAAGTTGATGGGGAGATAATTCTTGCAATATTGGTGCTAGAGTTATGAACCTTGTCACAT